GACTACGGGCTGTGACGCTACATATACATTTATATATACATATTATATATTTATGTATATTTATGTATATTTTGTATATTTATATACATATTATATATTTATGTATATTTATGTATATTATGTATATTTATGTATGTGTAAATATATACATATTTATATGTGGGTACATCATAATATAGCCTTAGTTTTCAAACTTCAATTGTTCATAACTTTTTTATTAATAACGAGCGACGGCTAAAATTTACGGATTGTTACTCAGGAAGGTGTCCTTGACAACATATGTCAAGCTCATTGAAATCGGAGGGGGGTGACCTTTTCTGTACATTTACCGACAATATTTAACAATGTTATAACATGAGAATGTTTGAGTTATGTAAAATTTTTTGTTATAGTCAACAGAGCTTGGAAAATTATTACAAGATCAAGAAAAGGAAAACAGAGTAATAGCAGCTATTTGTGCAGCTCCTACAGCCTTGAAAGTTCATGGCATTGGCAAAGGGAAACAGATTACTGCTTATCCCTCAATGAAAAATGATCTAGCAGAGTACTATAATTATCTAGAAAATAAAGTGGTGATAGACGGTAAGGCTCTGTGCACAGAAAATATTAGAAGTAAGAATAAATATTAAATATTAGGAAAAGAAATTTGTAATCTTACATTAAACAAGAGAATGGAATAGATTAATTATTCCAAATTCTTATTTTTTAATTTATGATGCATTAAATTATTCTAAATAACGAATTACTACAAAGAATTGCCTCAGGTTCAGACTTGGTAACTCTAATATGGATATGTGAAAAAGGGCTTTGTTGAACTTAATGATGCAAGGTGTTTTGCAAATTGATTTAAATAATAGTGTTTTACCAACATTTTGACTATATTTATAGTTCTCTTCAGTGTCTGTGATACAAATTATAACAGTAATAGTTACATAATGTGGTAAAAGAAAAATTTAAAAATAAAGGATGTGTATAATTGTTAAAAAATAAATTAGGACTTATTCAAATTGACACTCACATTTTGGTTGACGACATTTATAATAGTCAAGATATTAAAATAGGTAGTGTCAAGTGAGGTGTATCGTAACAATGAGAAATTCATAAGAATACGATGTATTCATAAGAATATGATGTATTCGTATGATCAAAGGTATGTTTACACATAAAGTTATATGGAAACGTTACTTAATTGATTTTGTCCAATAGGGGTAAATATAGATTGTCTAACAATATCTTTCATTTTGTTAATGCTATTTTTATTTAATTTGATATGTAACATTTCCGATGTGAGTCGTTTGTTATAATTAGATTCGATATCTAAAATGCATATGGAATCTCAATTAAAGTTGTGGCTTGTTTCAATAGAATATTCTACTAATACAGAATTGCTATTATGTGTTCTGACGTAATTTTTATGTTTATTTGGTCTAGTTTTAAGTTGTCTCTTTGTTTGTCCTATATAAAAAGACTCGCACGAGTCACAAGATATTTCATAAATTACATTTTTTTGTTGATACGATGCTAATGGATCTTTATGCGTTTTAATACATTTTTTTAATTGGTTTAGTTTTCTATATGATAATCTTGTGTTGGGAATTTTGATATTGAAAGGATTGTGGTTGTGTTTTCAAAGTGGGGATGAATGGGACTACAAAGAATTTAATATCATTTTGTTGGATGTCTGTTTCTGTAGTGTTGTTTATATGTTTGTTTAACTAGGTGGAAAATAAAGATCTGAGTCTGTTGTTTATAGTTTTGAAAATAAAGTCTATTGGATAGTTATTGTTAATTAAAATTTGTATAGTGTGGCGATAAATTTTTTTAGTGGTAGGAACGATTAGACAGTAAAATAGCTCTATCTAAAATAGCTCTTAACTAATGTATAAATAGTGCCGATTTTATGGCATTTAGGGTTTTGTGAAAGATAATTCAAGTATCTGCCGGAGAACGTGGATTTGTGGTATCAGTCATAAAATATGGTACTATTCTTTACAATGATGCTTAAATCTAGGAAGCTAATTTGATTATTATCCTGTAACTCGTGCGTGAATTTCATCCTATTGTGTATGAATTGAAGGTATCACAAACTGTATTGATTTTGTCTGTCGGAATCGCTATAATGTCATCAATGTATCTAAAATAGAATGGTATATTGAATTTTAATGATTCGAGCGCTTTCAACTCCAAATCTTGTAGTGTGATGTCGGCAATTATGTGTGATAATGGTGAGCCCATAGAGATATCATGAGTTTGTTTATACATTGTATTGAAATTGAATGTAAAATACATGGATGACATTAAATTCTAAAGCTATTATGAATTCTTGTAAGCTGATTTTTGTTCCCATTTTTAATGCCAAGTCAATTGGAACATTAGTGAATACGACATTATGTCTAATGAGCAAAAGCTATAATTATTCTTTATTTTTAATCACGAAATTATGTTATAAAAATGGAAACTATCTTTGACATGAAATGAAGAGTAGGGTATGTTATCATACACAATTTTGTGTAGATATAGAGCAAATTTGTGTAACAGGCTATATTGATAGCAGAGACGATAATTCTGAACGGATGATTGTGCTTGTGTATTTTAGAGACTTCATACGCGCGAGGATGCAATGCATCACTTAGACTAAGAAATCTTTTTTTATATTGATCAATGAAATTTTTATGCATCTATGTATCTCTATGTTATTGAGATCGGACTCGATTTTTTAATGAGGTTTTTCTTAACAACTGTGTAGATGTCTTGATTTTCTAATAGAGATTTTTGAAATGCATTTATTTTTAAGTATGGATACAGTGATGTTTCTATTTTACTATCTTGACTATTAGATAATATATTATAACTTTTAGGCCCTGTGTACAATAAACAAAATATTAAGAATATGAATAAATATTAAATATTAGAAATAAGAAATTGGAATTATTTATTTACAAAACAAGAAAATAGGATAAATTAATATGAATATGTGAAAAAAGGCTTTGCTGAACTTTTATGTGAGGTGTTTTGCAAATTGGTTTAAATAATAGTGTGTTTTGCAAGCATTTTGACTATATTTTTAGTCCTCTTTAGTGTCTGTAATATAAATTATAATAATAATAGTTACATGTGATAAAAGAAAAAATTAAAAACAAAGGATATATGTATAATTGATAAAAAATAAATGAGAACATGTTTTTATTCAATTTGACACATTTTGGTTGACGACTATATAGAAAATTACACATAATCAATATATATTATGCAATATATTTTTTGTAAATTGCATTGAGAGATGTTAAAACTTTTGTTTTTATAGGCAATCTAATAACAAGCAAAGGCCCAGCAACTGCTTTTGCTTTTGGCTTGGCTATCGTTGAGAAATTGATTGACAAAGAAACAGCCACTAAAGTAGCCAAAGCAGCGTTGTATGAAGACTACAAATAAATTTATTCAAACTTTATTTTGTGATATTACATGTGTGAAAGAGTGCTTACTATACTGAGTTCAATGAGAGAAAAGAATTGTTCTGCGCATAGGGAAAGAAAAGTAGGAATAGCGTTGCGCGCAGGATTGGCAAAATATTTGCTGGCAGCGCCAATGGGTGTGTTTAGCCGAAGCTAGCGCTACGTAGCGCTACGTAGCGGCTTCATGTAGCAGTTGCAATTGCTGCGTTACTTCTGCTGGACAGTAT